AGATTCCAGTGCCCACAATCAGCACGAAGAGGCAGAAAGCCCTGATCCTGTCTGCTCAGTCCCTTTTCCCAGCCCATGTCCCTTCACCTGCTGTGGACAGACCCTGCGGTGCATCCCCTCCTCAGGCCCAGGGCTCAGAGCTGGAAGCTGCCTCGCAGTGGGATCTGACAAGACCTGGGTTGGTTTCTCACAGCTCTCCATCCCACAAACCACTTCAGAACAGAAAATAACTTCTCATGGATCCAAAGTGTGTTTCCCTGACTACAAAAACCTGAACTTCCCTCCAGTCTGCGATGCGCTGTGAAACCCATCCCTACAAGCCCCTGCTTTGGCTGAGGGGGCACTTCCCTCACCCCATGTCCCTGCTGCAGGCAGGTGGCCCCGGAAACTGCAATCATTAACTCCTATCTCCTTCTTCTTTCTTCCCGGTGGTTTTGATCACAGTCCCTATTTCCCTCTTCAATCTGTCTGGCCCTGAACCTTAGCAGCGGCACCTCCATTCGTGTGTGCGCCTCTCGCTCTCCATCTCCCCAGACATGATTTAAAGTAACTAAAGCAGCAATTCTCCTTCTTTTGGTCGATCCATATATTGATTTTCTGTACTGTGGATAATGGAGAGGGACCCTCCAAAGCAGCTTTCTGAGTCCGCTCCACTCCTGGCAGTAACCGGAGCGCAGGATTGCTGCTCTCGGGCTGAAGAGCCACGAACGCCTGAGCTGCCCCCATACTCCCAAGGAGCTTGGAAAAAGTAAAATGCAAGCAAAAAGCTTTTCAAAAGCACTGAGCTGGTTTTGGCTGGGCTAGAGCTAACGTTCTTTAATAACGGCTCACATAGTGCTGTGTTTTGGATTTGTGACCAGAACAGTTGATAACACACTTTTTTTTGCTGAACCGGGCTTGTACAGGGCCAAGATCTTTGTTTGCCACCAGCGAGCAGCTGGGGGTGCACAGGGAGTTAAGAGGGGGCACAGCTGACCCCAGTGACCAAAGGGATGTCCCGTCCCATATGACACCGTGCTCAGCAAGCAAAGCTGGGGAAAGCAGGAGGAAGTGGGGGGCTGTTGGAGTGATGGCGTTTGTGTCCCCCAAGCCCCTGTTTCTGGGGGTGGCTGCACACCTCCCTGCCATGGGAAGCAGTGAGTGATGCCTGGCTTTGCTGTGCACACCAGCTTCTGCTTTACTCATCCTGTCTGTATCTCAACCCTCCTGTTTTGTCCCTTTACCCTTCCGATCCTCTCCCCATCCTGCAGGGGAGTAAGCAAGCAGTGGGGGTCTCAGCTGCCCACCAGGGTAACCCACCCCAGCCGACCTTTCACATTTGGCTCCTTCAACCTCTGCTTTCCTCCCAGTTTCCACCTCTACCCAGCACTGTTACGGTGCACACACTCAAACACTGCTTATGCACATCCCAACCTACACCCGCGCCCTTAATTCTACACCTTGAGGCTCTCAGCTTGGGAAATCTCAGCTGCCTCCTTCACCACATCCACTCCAATGCTGGCTGAGTCACGACATGAGTCATGACAGGACTTGGATGGAAAAGGTAATTCCTCCCCTCCTCAACACAGGGTCTCCAGTTGAAAACACCCATGTTGTCAGTGGTGTGCACTCAGTGTATTTTGGCCTTGCTTTTGTGTGCTGCGATATCTAAAGATGGGGAAACACCCTTCTCCTGTTTCGTCCTAATTCTGAAACTCTGACCTCACCACGCAACAGGAAAGTCCAAGGCCTTTGCAGTAAGTTTGGGTTCAATTCTCCACACAACCTTAATTCTGCTGTTTTCTGTATATTTGCTGCCATAGATTAATATTTCCTGATCAGTATTTTTCTAGGCTGACTGCTTGACTCGGTAAGAACAGATGTGCAAACTGTTCTTCTAGAACAGGCAAAACCAGCTGATTTCTACAACTCTGAAGTGAACCCACAAGTCAAGAGCTCCTCCTGTGCAAGGTGACTGCAGAGACAACCACAAACAGTCTGACTTGGAGCAGAGCTCAAAGCTGTCCCCTAGCACTTACTTCTATAGAAGTCCACCTCGCTGTATATCCCTAAGACATCAGGATATGTGTCTAAAGGTAAAAGAGCACGCGTGTAAGAGGCATGAAAAGACACAGGATGCTGTACTCTGCAGTGGGAATTCCTGCCCCACAGACAGCCCCAGGAGTGCCCTGCTGGGCTGGGTGTGAGGTTAGGGGAAGCTGCACCCCCACAGAGATCCCCTACTTTCGGACAGCCCCGGGGCCCTGCCCTCCCTGACTGCTGCTGGGCAGGCGTGGGGAGACTGAGGATGCACAGGATGAGCTCTGCCACACTTCACCTTACTCTGCAAGCCCAGCAGAGCCGACCCCCAGCCCCAGCCCACGGAGCAGAGAGGATCAGCATCGACCACACATGTAGGCACCCCCAGAGCTACCCTTCCCCTGTGGCGTGCGGTTATTTGACCCCCCAGCTGCACGCTGTGCTGCATTGAGCTCAGGAGACGCCACAGCACAGACAGCACACCCTGACAGCAATGCAGTCACCGACCTGGCACACAGAGCTGATCCTCCTCAGCGTCTGACCTCCCCTTCCTCCCTTTGCACACGTGAGCCCTCCTGAAAGCTCCCCTCGGCTGGCCAGGCCCCAGTGCCAGCAGCACCCTCCCCATCACCCCAGCTAAGCAAACACTGGTGCGAGTGGGAGGCGCCAGGGACGCAGAGGGGATGTGTCTGGGAGAAGCCCTGCACTCCTCCACCTCTGCTGGCAACGGCAGCAGGGGCAGATTAGAGCTGAATTAAGTTACCAGCGTTAAATAAACATGCCTGGCCTCTTTGAAGTTCTGCTTCCCTTGAACATGAGCTCATTTCATGAGGCCTCTTTTTGCTGAGCCCCAGGAAGCCACCAGTCTCCATGGAGTTAACTCTTCAGAGGACGTCTCGGACATCTCACGCTGTCGGTGCCCAGGGCAAGGCGGTCAGTGTGGGGTGAGAGCAGAGCTGGGTATGACCACGGCGAGCACCGACCCCCTGCGCATCTCCCCAGGGCCTCCCTGATTTAAGGAGAATTCCCACCAGGAAAGGGAACATCCCTGACTCTGCTATGTGGTCCTGTAGGCCAGCACACACGGAAGCGTTGTTGGAGCTGAAGGCAAGAGGGATCCCCCTGCGGTGAAGCATCCTCCAACCCTGCCAAGAGCAGCACTCGCAGGTCCTGGGAGGACTGAGCTCAACCCCAGAGTGGGGCTGAGGAGGAAAGGAGCAAGGGAGGAATTTAATTACAGAGAGGAAGTTTCCCAGTGCTCCCTTCTGGTTTAATTCCACACAGTGGAAACGAGAAAGGCTGGGGCAGGAAAGGGAGGGGGTATCCACAGAGAGGAAAGTAAAATACCACAAAGACAAGGCTGATCCTGACCCACGGCATTTTTGCATGGCTCAGGCAACCTCTGCCAGTCCCTGCTCTTGTCCCGTCCTTGAAAAGCACAGCAAAGAGAGCAGAAATCTGGCTGAGAGCAAGGGCAGGCTCTGCCTGGGAGTGGGGAGGTGTCACTTGGGGTTCACTATTGGGCACTATAAGCAGGAACTGCAGAGTCGCTGTCGACGGAGCCAACGCGAGAGGGAGAGCCCCTCACTGCTGCTGCCAAGGGGCAAGCAAATGCTTCTCGAGACGGCTCCATGACACCATGGTGTCACCCGTGGTTCTGGATGCTCTGCTTGCTCAGTTCCAGCCTCTGGCACAAGGAGGCTGCAGAGAAACAGCGCTGCCTGGGTCAGCCCAAGGCCCCCACTTCTGGGAAGGCGGCTTCCACCTTGTCCCCGAAACCTCCCACTTTTACTGCCAGGAAAGCTCCCAGCCACCACAGACGTCTGAACCCACTCGTGCAGTACCTGAGAAGCACCTCGGAGACTCTGGGCAGGAGCCCCCGACCGCAAGGCACCGCGCGGGAGGTCCCCAGCAGCAATGTGGAGCCTGCAGAGCGGCGGCGGGCAGGACGCAAACGACCAGCAGGAAGGGAGGGAGCAGCCGGGAAATTCAAGTGCAGAAATCCAAGATAAACAGCGAGAGGCCATGGAGTTCCCAGCCACAACAGAAATGGTCTCCAGTGAGGGGAGCCGCAGCTGCACACAGGCCATGAGTGACAGCCTCAGGCAATGCCCCCCCCTACTCCCCCAACAGCAGCTTGGGGGGACAGGGCTGGCTCCCATCGAGGGGTGGCAGGAAAGCCCCGGCCTGACCTGAGCACAGGCTGAGCTGGGGGTTTCAGGAGGAACGGTCTCATCAGAGAAATGCCTCTCCTAAGGAATCCTTCAGCCCTGCTGGAGGCTGCTCTGCTGCTTCTCATTGCACTGACAGGCGAGCGCTGCAAATGCCAGATGGACATGGGGACAACAGCAGCTCCCGTTGTCCTAAACACAACGGCAATGCTAGAGACACCTCAGACACTATCAACAGCCAACACCCGGGCCTTGGCAAGGCAGTAAATGCACCGACACCGTCCCTAACCAACAACCATGGCTCCAGGAACAAGGCAAGTTCAGCCTGACTCAGATCTGCTTTTCCACGTGCACGGTAGAGATCACAGCATGAGGCAGAGCAAGGTAACTGTCAGACGTACAAATGGGCGCAGTCCTGCAACTTAACAGTTCCCATTCTTCACTTCTTATACCCACAAATGACTCAGTCTCCCCTGAAAACACCCCCAGCAATGTGTGTTCCAGAGACGCAGGAAAGGCTCCAAGGAAATGCATAGAGAGGAGCAGACCTCAGCAATGGGTGCAGCACCACCATCCCTCCAGAGAGCCATCGTCCTGCCCACCTTTACAGACGGCTGCTCCTTAGCACCTTGGTGCCATGCTGCCACACAGCAAACAGGCATCAGCATCTGTACCTTCACCATGCGTGAAGCAGCACAGAAAAGCCAGCCAGGGCACCCAGATGTCCTTGCTGCCAGTCTCTGCCTGCTTTGGTGCTCTTGGAGAGCTGAGTGGAGGAGGAAGATTGTTAAGCAACAACGTGGACCTTACCTTTTGTTCCAGGGGGCTGCAGATTATCTCCAGTCAGCGAGCACCAGCCTACGGGAAAGATGTCCCGGGAATCATATCGGCACCAGTAATCGAAGGCACCTCTCCAGCCATCAAATGTTATGAGGACCTCAGAACCTCTCACCTCCCCAATGGTGGCCGGGCAGATGAAGTGAGGGTTCTTCCTGTCCACTGCCTCCAGCTTCATACCTGTCTTGAAGAAGTTTTGGGATGGAGATGGTGGTTCCTACAAGGAGAAGTTGAAAATGTGCTCAAAGACGATACGGCAGTGCCTTCCCAGAGCAGGGCTGTCCCCTCCACCAGCAAACTCACCTCCATGAGCAGACGAAGAAGGGAGCAGTGGGCTGGATCTGAACCCCAGTGAGCTGTGCACACGCTGGCCTAGCTATGCAACAGCCAAGTCCCCTGCTGACTGCTCTGCCACCACCCGAATCAATCCAAACCCACGGTGCTATGTTAACACCACACCCTGTGACAAGGCTGTCATTGAACACCGGCAGAAAATGCAGCTCCAAAGAAAGGAGCCTCTGTAGGATCCTCTCACATTGCTGCCCCGGGGCAGGAAAACCTGAGACGTGACAGTCCCTCTCCGTCATTCCTCCCCACCTTCAGCTTTGCCAGACATGCGAGAGATCCGCATCCATCCTTAGCTGGGGCTTGCTCTTCGTCTTTTATACTTGAGACACACTAAACCACACCAAGCATCCCACAGCACAGCACAGCCTCTGTGCTGGCTTCTGGCTCTCCGACTTCACTAAGGGTGTGAGAACACAAACTACGAACCCGTACTTGCAGTGCTGCCTCTCAGCAATATCTGCACTCCCTCTGGGCTCTGGTAAATCCAAAGGTTTCAGAGAAATGCTGGCCTTCCCATATCGTGTTCCTGACTTTGAGGAGCACGGGTGAAAACCAAGCGCATCTCTCAAGCCCCAGCCACCTTCCTAGCAGAGCTCTGTCTGCATCCCAGCGCTGCTGCGACACAGCTGTGAGGCACTGGTGTGTCCTAGAGCAAAGCTGGGCAGTGTCCACCTCCTCGGGGACCTGCAGCCCTCACATGCAATGCCAGCCGTGCTTTTGGTGCTCTGCAGTAAAGGGGCCACGCCAGAAGGATGCCTTCAAAACAGCGCAGTAAAATACCTTGTGAAAAATCCGGACAGGAGCCATCTCTGCTCCATTCAGAGTCTTCAGAAGGAACATGGGCCAGGAGGAGGCGTTCAGCCGGAAGCCTGCAGAGGAGGAAGCAGAGATGGAGACGTTGAGGCTGTGGGGACACTGGATCGGGCAGCACAAGTCTGCTGTGATGCACACATCTGCAGTGGGCACACACCGAGATCCCACAGCACCCTCCTCCTCCTCACGGTGCAAAGTCACAGCTGACCTTTTCCAGCTACTCAGAACGCAAAACATTATGCTGTTGAAAAGAAACATCTGGCAATGGATGTTTGACTGCAATATTGGCTTATCACAACACGAGTCTGTACACGGACCATGCAGGCAGAGCGCTCTGCAGCACTCATGCTCGCAGCTTCAGCAATGCTGCTGCAGGGGAGATGTGAATCAGCGTGTGAGCACTCAGGATGTGAAACCTCTTCCTCAATGGGGAGTCTCAGCTCCTGGGTGGCTTCCTCCACCTTTTGGAGTGAGCTCAGGCAAGCTAAAATGGAGAAATAAAGAGGCTGGGACTTGGCTGGGAAACACATTTAACCATTACAGGAAAGGATGGCAGGTTTTGGCTCGACACCTTCTGTGAAAAAAAGTAGAGAAATAACAGGAGGAGGCTTATGGGAAGAAAAAAGCAAATTCACATGCCCTGAGTCTATGGCACCGAGTATGGCTGCACAGCCAGATATCACAAAACACCATCTTTGCTAAACATGCACCTTCCTGTATGGCAATTTCTGCTGCTCAGCTGAACGTGGTGTTGTGAAGGGAACCCTGTGCCGTGGTTTAACCTCAGCCAACAACGAAGCCCCACGCAGCAGCTTGGCCCCTCCCTTCTTTCAGTGGGAAAGAGGAGAGAATCAGAGCAGTAAAAGTGAGAAAACTCGTGGGGTGAGGTACAGACAGGTCAATGGGGAAAGCAAAAGCCGTGTGTGCAAGCAAGGCAAATCAAAGGAATCATTCACTGCTTCGATGGCAGGGAGGGTGCAGCCACCCCCAGCACGCAGGGCTCCATCGCGTGTAACGGGGACTTGGGGACACAAACGCCATCACTTCAACATCCCCTCCCTTCTCCTTGTTTCCCCCAGCTCTATATGCTGAGCATGGTATCATATGGGATGGGTCATCCCTTTGGTCACTGGGGTCAGCTGTGCCCCTCCCAGCTCCTTGTGCACCCCAGGCTGCTCGCAGGTGGGGTGAGAAGCAGAAAAGGCCTTGACATCGTGCAGGCACTGCTCAGCAGTAACAGAAACATCCCTGTGCTATCAACACTGCTTCCAGCACAAATCCCAAACGCAGCCCCATACCAGCTACTGTGAAGAAAATTAACTTTACCCCAGCCAAAACCAGCCCAACTCTGGTACTGGACCTACACAGAGAGCATCCCAAGATGACGAACATGGCAAAGTTCTGCCAGGGCTGAAATGTCAGAACACAGCCAGCTCAGCACAGGCCACCCTGCAGCTTTGTCAGAGCAGCTCTGGACACCAAACAAGCTACCACAAACTGCAGGGGACGGAGAGCTAAGCTAAGAGGGGCAAAGATATCCTTTCAGGTGAATTATCTCTGTAAAGAAGGGGAGTGGCAGCAGATCAGTGCACATGGAAAATACCACAGCGAGCACAGAAAATCCTTGCTGCATTTCCTGGGCCCTTGCACTCTACAGGCAGAAAGGACAACCACAGATCCTTACTGCAGCCTTCCAGTGCCTGCAGGGACTACAGAAAAGCTGGGGAGGGACTTTTTACGATGCCAGGTAGTGACAGAACAAGGGGGAAAGGTTTTAAACTGGAAGACGGCAGATTTAGACTGTACATTGGGAAGAAATCCTTCCCTGTGAGGTGGTGAGGCCCTGGCCCAGGTTGCCCAGAGAAGCTGTGGGTGCCCCCTCCCTGGCAGTGCCCAGGGCCAGGTTGGATGTGGCTTGGAGCAGCCTGGGCTGGTGGAGGTGTCCCTGTCCATGGGGGTTGGACTGGGAGGGCTTTGATGTCCCTTCCCACCCAAATCATGCTGTGATTCTGCGATTCTATGACCCAGCTGTTTGTTACCTACATGCAAGAGAACTGTGCCTGTGTGGCCCAAGGTCAAGCGATGCAGATCAGAGCTGGGCACACAGCCTTTCTCCACAGCACCAACCTTCTGTGGCACAGCCAAAGCCCAGCTTTGCTCTGCAGCGGGACACGGCATTGCCATCTGCTGACAACGCCAGACATGGCACAGGGGAACCCATCGCTGCAGCCAGGACGGGCACCCCAGAGCTGGGACAGACACCTGGGGACCAAGGTTGCAAAGAGATGTCTGCAGACGGACAGCACCACGCGTGCAGGTAACATAAAACCCAGCAGTGTTAGTGTTAACAGCTGCAGCAGGGTTTGTCTGTAGCAATTATGAAGGGAAAGGGTAAAATTAGACCTGCGTACACACAGCTTCGTGTGGTGTGGTGTGGTGTGGTGTGATGTGATGTGCCAAAACATGCATCGGCTGCTGCTTGTTCATTCTTCAGAAAGGCCAGACCCAGGTGTCCCATTGCAATTTGGACTGGACTTCTCCCACAGCTCACAATAAAAGAAAAAGGAATAAAATATTCCTAGCTCAAAGTATCCTAAAGGTTTCTTGCATCACTACAGATCAGCCTGATATCATGTGGGGATGTGCTAATTCAGAGAGAGATTTATGAAGACACTTCAAAAATAATGGGCAGCAGAATGCAAAAGCAGGTTAATCTTGCTGCTTCATCAGGAAAGAACCAGCAAATCAGCTCATCATCGGGTCAGTGTCAGAAAAACCCGACCAGAGATGTGTGTTTAGCTGACGACAAGACTGGAGAAAGTGCTGGACTGTCCAGGTTATTTATAAAGCTGTAGCCAAGCAAAGTTAAATAAAGAGATGAAATATCACAAGCATCCCTTCACATGAGACAGGTCCTAAATCACTGGGAGTCTTCTCAGCCATTGTGTATCCCCATCAATGGTCTCCAGATAACCTGCTACTGCCCCAAAGACACCTGGCCATTAATACACTCAGACAGCACGAATGAAAATTTAAATGCTTTTGAAATCCCACTGTCAGGATTAGTAACGATACAGGAGATGACTTGGCCCTAATGGCTCTCTTGGTTATTCCCTGCATCAAGATTTACAGATCCCCAGCAAAGCACCTCCACCCGAACACCGATGGCCCGCCAGCCGTGTCACGTCAAGCACTGCTTTGAGGTGGCAGCGCTTGTGAGCAGCACCAGAAGCCTAAAACAAAGGGCAAGGACCACAGCTCAGGTCATTGCCAGGGCTCTGGGCCAGCACTGCCTGCGCGTGTGGTGAATTCCAGAACAAAAGAACCCGGATTCGTCCTGTCCCTAAACAGACCTTGGGGTGCCCCTCGACTGGATGTGTCACCTCTGGGAAACAGAATGGCTCTGCCATTCTTTCACATCCACGGGTGGAAAATGTGTTTTTCCCTCGAGGTACACAGAGGGAATTGCAGAAGGCGTACGAGCACTTTTAGCATGTGCTAATCCCGAGCTTGAGCTGTTAGAACTGCAAGCAGCTCACCTAGGTGCATAGAGCTCTTTCATCTATGCTCTAAAGCATCTCCCTATCCATGCCACAATGTCCATGTGGAAATACAGAGCTGGTGAGGGATGCATCTGTTTAACAGCCCAAGCTAACAGGGCTGGTCTGCATCACCGCACTAGGGGCAGTCCATAGGTCTCTGTCCCAAGCACAGGAATATCAAAACCCCAGGTTTTTCCCCACAGACGGTGTCAGTGCTCGCTGGGCAGTTGAAGTTCAGCTCACCCAGTGGAGGCTGCAGCATCCCTCCGTTCTTCTCACAGTTTCCTATGGGCTGGATTTCAGCTGAGTCCACCAGCCGCCAGAAATCATTCTTGTTATCGCTGCCATCGAGGCGCAGGCGGAGGCGTGCGCCCGTCAGACCCACCACGGTGGCGATGCAAGTGGAGGTGGTGTTCCTGGGGTCCTGGGCTTCTAGTTTCATGTTGATCTTGAATTCATTTGCAGGTGGAGTGTATGACTGCGAAGAAACAGACAGGGACCCAGTTAGAGACAGCATTTCCAAGCCATGCACCACCTCAGTTGCAAAGCTTAAGTCCCAACACCATCAAAACTGATCCCACCAAGACTGAGAGCATCCTCCAAGCACAGCATGGGAGCAGACACTACAGATTAGTGAGCCTGGCAGGTCTGTGACCCAGACCATCACCTTCTGGTACTGCATCACCTGGAGAACCAGAGCTACCCTCTCCTCTTAGCCCTCTTCTGCACGGGATCCACCAAAACCTGGATCACAGCCCATTCCCAACATTTTCTCCAAAACCCAGCGCTCAGCAGAGAGAAGAAACATCCTCATGTTCCCATTCATGCACATCTGAGAGTTTTCTGCACTACTCTAATATTTGCAGTGCCTGAACCTATCTTTGCTACAGCAAACTTACATTTCTGTTAAGTCTCTGATAACCTTAAGCATCTTCCTTGCCAAAAAAGGAACCTACTCCAGGCACTGAACTCCTGGGTCACCAACACACCCCTGTCCTTGGCCTTCCACATTCTCATTCACTCTCTTACCTGCTTGAAGCAATGGGCAGGAGCTGGGACGGCACAAGTCTCTTTCAGGTATTTCTCCCAGGTGAAGTGACCTGAGAAAAGGATTCAAATAGGAACTGATGAACAAAAAACCTCAGAAAAAGAGCAGGCTGGAGTGCTAACGCTGGCAGTTCTCCACTTCTCACACAGGAGGTGCTCACAGGCAACGTGTCTGCATCAAGATTCTCCGATGTGGAAGATTTACAACCGCGGCTGACGGGGAGAACAAAGCGTGGTGCTGCTTATGGCATCGCACTGCCTCTGCACTGCAAAAGTGAGGAAGACAACCTACAACTTCATACCAAACACCCAGCGCAGATGGGAACCCACGGCATCTTCCCAACAACTGCCCCTTAAAAACCATTCGTTAGCCACATTGCTTGGTCTGGGGATTGAGAACGGTCGCTGAGGGCTAAAAGCAGCCCAAATCGAGCAGAAACGCCACACGGTGCCGATGTTACGTTCTCCTGGTGCAGCATTCACGCAGCAGCTCGGAGCAGGTATCACCCATCCCAGCACTCAGTGGCCAGGTCAGTAATGAATTTCCTGAAGCAGACACAGCATCCACAGCTGGGGTTGGGTGGATGCAGGGATGCTCCAAACCGGAATTTACTGAACAGAGCGGCTCAAACCCAACCCCAAGCCCCTTCCACAGAGAGCTGCTGCTGGGGGAAGTGCTCTTTATCCTGGCCCGCACCTTTCCCATGCAGAGCAGAAAGGGTAAAGGCAATTTTCTACCCAGGGAAACGTGTTATTAAATGAGGAATTAAAAGCTCCCGTGATCTGAGCAAATCATGACTTCTGTCATTTAAACGGAGCAGCTGGGAAAGGATCCTTCCAGCATGACATTAGCTTGCATTCACCCAACGGCTCCCAGGAGGCCGCTGGCTCCAAGTCATTTCAAGAGCACCGGTGGCAGCACGATGAAAGAGTCGCTACCGCTTCCCCACGTCAAGTTTTGCATCAGCCTGTTTTCAAAACACAAGCTACATGAAGGGCCCTTTCAGCTACTGCAGCGCACACCACACCTCTCCACATTCAGGCATTAAGGTCAGCACGCGTCACTTTAGCTCTGCCGCACGTGCACAGAGAAGCCTTAAGGGGTCGATAATCTCCCAATTTCCACTAAATAACAGAAACGCTGCTTTCTTGCCACCTCCCATGCAGATCACAAGCACGCTGTTAAATATAGTGGAAAAAATACCATTTTCTTGCCACACTGGCTGAATGTATTTCTGTTTACAGACTCCCCACTCCTCAGAGTATGCATTTCCGTCCATTGGGATGTATTTTCTTTTCAGCCAACAGTCTCACACCAGGGTGAATGAAGAAATTCAGTGATTCCCTGCAATGGTGCTCTCACAAAAAACAAATCCTTTTGCTTTAATTGGAGATACGATTTAATGCTCAGTTACATCAATGAAACTCTCTGTACGAATAATGTGTAACAAACGCCCTGCCAAAGCAAAGCCAGGACCTCCTGGCATGGCAATGCATCCCCCCCTTAGCTCTGGTTGCTGCTCTGGGCTCAGCTCAGCCTGGAGGGGTCCCCCTGGCCATAGGGCGCCCGTAGTGGCAGCGACGGGTACAAGCCTCAGCCCCAGGGCCTGAGGAAGCATCTTGGAAAGGATCAGCTGCACTTGACAGTTTTATTTTCAAACAGAAACCTCCCCTCAGCTGGTTTCAATCCCCTGCTATTAAAAGCAGTGGTGGTTTGAATCCTGCCACTTTTCCCTCACCCCGCACTGAGCGAGGCCGTTCCCTGCAGTTGCGGCTGACGCTGCAGGAGCAATAGATGTCAGAGACAACTGCGTGCCCCTAATAACAGTGTTTGGATGTGGAACTTACTTGAGATTAATTCAAGCACCATGTGAAGACACGCACACAACACCGGAACTGCAGCTACTCGCGATCCTGGTGACTTCTTTCGCAAAGAAAAGAAGGAGCAGCAGAAAAACTTCTCTAAACTCTACGAGAAGACAGAATTAAGCCTGCCTCCCTTCTCTGTTCGCTATTGGCCACTTCTTTATTTGAAGATGGCACAAGCGCCATGAAGGACTGCACTTTTTCCAGATTACTCTCAAACCAGCACACAACCTGCACACCGAAGTTGGAGGCTGCCACCGCTGCCTTAGCGCGAGAGGAAACCCCGCACAGGAATGGCTTTAAATGAGTTCAGCAGTAGCAGTTAGCTCACGATACGATGTTTTTCAAGCAGGAATTTTGAAGTATGCCTAAATTTAGCCAAGTACAATCAGCTTCAACCTAAAAAAGGGAGTGCCTAGGGTGAGTCAGTCAGTGCCACGCATGATGACTGTCCCTGCTAAGGAAAAAAGGAGGGGAATTGCTGTAGGTGATTCACTTCTGAGGGGAACAGAGGGCCCAATATGACGACCAGACCCATCCCATGGCGACGTCCGCTGCCTCCCCGGGGCCCGGGTTAACAGAAAATTCTGTGGGCTGCTGCAGCCGTGTGAGTATTACGGGTTATACAGGTTGGTAGCGATGAGGTTGTGGAGAGAAGCCCAAAAAGGACTTGAGGGCACTGGGCGAGTGGTTGAAGGATCGGGGGCACAGTGTTTTCCTCAATCCCTTCAGTGGCAGGGAAGATACTGATGGGAACAGGAGAACTCTCAGATCAACACATGGCTCAGAGGATGATGCCATCGGTGCAATTTTGGGGTCTTTTGATCATGGGGAGCTTTACACGGCACCAGGCCTGCTGGAGACAGCTTTCTCAAGTGGGAAAAGGATCCTTGCACATGAGTTGGCCAGGTGCATCAATAAGGCTTTAAACTGGGTTTGAAGGGGAAGGGGATAAAACCAGGCTCACTCTGATGAGACTAGAGGTGGCATGGCAATGCTAGGGGGGAAATCAAATACTCACAGAATCACAAAATCACAGCATGGTTTGGGTGGGAAGGGACCTCAGACCCCCCCAGTCCAACCCCCATGGGCAGGGACACCTCCACCAGTCCAGGCTGCTCCAAGCCCCGTCCAACCTGGCCTTGGGCACTGCCAGGGAGGGGGCACCCACAGCTTCTCTGGGAAACCTGGGCCAGGGCCTCACCACCTCACATAGAAGGATTTCTTCCCAATATCCAGTCTAAATCTCCCCCTTTCCAGTTTAAAACCACTTCCCCTCATCCTATCACTCCATGCCCTTGTAAAAAGTCCCTCCCCAGCTTTCCTGTAGCCCCTTCAGGAACTGGAAGGTGCTCTAAGATCTCCCTGGAGCCTTCTTTTCTCCAGGCTGAACAACCCCAACTCTCTCAGCTGTCCCCATAGCAGAGCTGCTCCAGCCCCTGAGCATCTCCATGGTCTCCTCTGGACCCGCTCCAACAGCTCCGTGACCTTTTTGTGTTGGGAACTCCAGCACTGGACACAGCACTGCAGGTGGGGTCTGACCAGAGCAGAGCAGAGGGGCAGAATCCCCTCCCTGGCCCTGAAGACTCTGAATGGAGCAGAGATGGCTCCTGTCCGGATTTTTCACAAGATGGGCCAACCAGGCGAGGTGCTGGAGTTGCTCTTTATGTGAGAAAGCAACTAGAATGTATTAAGCTCTGCCCAGGGGCAGATGAGGAGCGAGTTGAGAGCTTGCAGGTGAGAATAATATGGGAGCCACTGCTGTGGGTGTCTATTACAGGCAACCTGACCAGGATGAGGACACTGACAAGGCCTACAGATGGCTGAAAGCAGCCTCACAACCACAGGCCCTGGTACTCGTGGAGGATTTCAATGACCCTGACATTTGCTGGGAAGGTCCCAGAGCCAGGCACACAGTGTCCAAGAGGGTCCTGCAGTGCCCTGATGATGACTCCTTGATGCAGGTGGTGGAGGAGCCAACAAGGAGAGGACTTTGCACTGACACACAACTGACACACGACTGACACACTGACTGGGTCAGGATGTCCTTGGCTGTAGTGACCATGGGATGGTGCAGTTCAGGATCACGGCAGTACTCACAGAGCAACAAGCAGGATTACAACCCTGGACTTCAGAAGGGCTCACTTTGGCCTCGTCAAGGAACTGCCTGGAGAAATCCCATGGGATAGGGCACTGGAAGGTAGGGGGGCCAAGAGAGCTGGTTAATATTCAAGCGTCATTTCCTCCAAGCTGAAGATTGGAGCTTGATGAGGATTTCTTGATGAGGATTTCTCCAGTTGCCAGTGAATCACTCTGCCTCAAGAAAAGACAGCACCTGAGCCGGTGCCGAAGCGTGCCTGGTGGGATAGGCAGGAGCGTCCCAGAGCCAACTGCAGGGACTGAAATCTTCTCCCCTCAAAAAAGCAAAGGGGAACGCTTGCTCCACTGCTGCTGCTGGCTGCCAGTGCAGTATGCAAACTGTCCTGCCAGCCCCCAGATCCCTCTGTTTTGTCTGGTCTCTGCTTCTCTTCCGTGCCCCTCCACCACGCTGCAGAACCCATCATATTCCCACAGCCTGAAGGATCACGGTTTGAACGGACCATGTTCCTCCGTACAACACCCATCAGATCTTCTTTACAGCAAGAAATGGGAGAAGGACGCTTAATGAGAAACACCACGTTTTGGTAATTACATCTGGGAGCTAAACAAAAGCTAAGGACTGTAAACCTAGACGACTGCCAGTAACTCGGCTGTGAAAATGCCTGCTCAGGGTGACTGTCTATCACTGCTGCTTGCCTTTGGAAAGCTCCTTACCACGCGGCTGTGCCAAAGGGAGGTATTACTTGCAGGCAGAGTGTCAGATTTGGGCTCTGATGTCTTAACCTTCACCAGTATTTACTACAAACAAAACACTCCACACAGCCGAGGGGTCAAACTGCAGTAGTTGTGAACAACACAAATCTGCACCCTCCTGTTTAGATTCTCATCGTGTTGCATTTAACGTTGATCTTTTGCCCAGAATTTAAATGAAGATGGAGTTTCTGTTTATATCTTTAACTGAAGCCTGCTTTGGGCTCCATTAGCATTTCAGCTCCCAAGGGGTCATCAATCCTACTGAAATGCTACATGTGCGTTTCAGGTCACATCTGTGAAGGAGAACGTGCCCTACCCAGATCAAGGCATCCCATTAAAGTCTGCAGCCCATATGCGTGTCTGTTAATGAGCATCAAGGCAGCACATGAAAGCAGCACAGCTTGAGCCAACTCGCTATGAAAATGAGCAGAGCATCCAAGGCGGTGGTGGCCTTCCCCGACGTCTGGACGCAGCCTCCCAAGGGTCAGCGCTCGCACTGCGACGGCAGAGCCTGTCTGACCCGTTACAGTCTCCAGCCACTCTGCTCGGTCATCAGTCTGGCTGCACACTCTCTATTGGTAACAGCTACAACCAATAACACGACCCCACTTACCCGCGGTCTTCCTCAGAAGAAGCACGAGAATGTGCGAGCCAAAACTAATAGGTATCAAACACCAGGACGCTGCTGTCTGCTCTGCTGCTTCTCAGAGACCTCCCAGTTTGGTATCAGCTTTGAGCTGATCTTTTCAGGCTGGATAGAGGGTGCTCTGTGCCAGAACGCCGCTGGTTTCACCCTCCTTGCTGTGTACCCGAGCTCGGGCAGTGATGAGCTGCTCAGCATCCTGCAGATTCCCAATCCCTGCTGTCACACCATGCACTCGCCAAGCAGACACACGCACATCAGCACAGCTGCAGTGCTTCCTCCGCAGGCCAGTGAGCCTTGGGATGTAGTGAGGTGCAGAGGCTGGTGTGCTGGGTTACCACGAGCACTGATGGGAAAGCACATCTCTGAATTTCCCAGAAAGCTCTGTTTCAGGTCCTCTGGCATCTGCGAACAGTGCAGCACGTGGAGCCGAGGGGAGACTGCAGTGGAGCCCCCAACACCCAAAGGCAGACTGCACCCAGGCCATGAGCTGTGACGTGCCCCATGTCACATGGAGCTCAGCATGGGGTGACACGGGACCCAGGACTCGATCAGATCTGGGTCCTCCTCCCCTTGGAGAAGGTCCTTCCCCAGCTGTGACCCACAGCACCTCAGGACAAGGGCAGACAAGGACAGACAAGATGCATCAAGTAAGGGCTGACGGTGGCCACAGCCCAACGTGTCCGAGAGCCACCCTGGATCTCACCTCAGAGCCCAGGATAACACAGCCCAAGGCACAGCACCCACCTCAACTCTCCCAGAAAAACAGCAGAGCCTTTCACGAAGGCAAACTCATTTCTTGTTAGAAATGGCTAAACTTGGGCAATCAGGTTTAGTTTCTTGTCACTCTGTACTTGGAGGGAAGTATGGACATCACCCGCTTAATAGAACATAAAGACAACACCTCCTTATACTCTGTAAGGAAAATAACAGGCCCTAAAATCTTTTACTGAATCATACAAGCCTTACATAAAATTCCTAATACTGGAAGTTGCATGTGTATTCCCCAAGAGAGAGCAGGAGCTGTCAGTTTTATGAACCCAGCTTGCAGACGCCGTGCACAGCCTGTGCAGGGGACACCTCATCTCTGAAGGGAGCAAGAGGTGACCAATCCTGCACCGCCACCACCAGCTCTGTGCTCCGCTGAGCCAGCAGCATCGTCTCTGCTGGGGAAGGGCCCAATTCCCTTGGAAGAGGGAGCACGGGTCACACCAGGTCCCTCCTACAGCACAGATGTGTGGGGCAGCCGCACGCTGCTGTGAGCGTGGAAGAGCTTGTGGAGGAGTAGGAGGCTCCTTTGCTCAGAACACACATGAAAACATGGGCAGTCACCGCTCAGCGCTCGTGGCTGGGCAGTGAGAAACAGATCTGCTCCGCCCTGCCTGGTTCAGCTGCGTGCTCACCCTGGTGTCTTCTCAGCCATTTCAGACTGTGGTCAGAACTGAACACATGAGGAGAGTTCGAGAACAGTTTTAATCTGTGAGCATACCTGGCTTCCTACATCCAAGCAGCTCAAAAAGCTTATAGGGGAAAAAAACCCTAAATGGGAGGAGGAAGGGAGGAAGGAGCTCTCTTACCTTGGTACTGGGAGGGAGACTCTGACGGGCGGCCGTACTTGTGCTTTTTACCATCTTTCCAGTCTATGGCTGAAACAAGAAACAAAGCCTTGTGTCAGTGCAGGATGCCAGCTAACGCACTCATCAACATTATCTGCTCATGTCACCTGCTTTATGGGTACCTCAGAGGAGAGGAGTGCTCTCCCTGTCCTGTCACGGCCCCAGGTCACACGGATGATTTCTCTAAACCTATGGGGTGTGCTCCCTCCCTCCACACAGCTCAGAAGAATTCCTGACACGAGGTGTCTGCACTTGCATCTCAGCCTCTGCCTGGTCCTCACCAAGCAGCGTTCTCCCACAAGACTATTGATAATGTCAAAAGCAGCAACTGATAGAGCTA